GCCGAAAGTAAAAGCTTCCTCGTCGGAGAATGTTACGATCCCATCTCACGCGCAGAGCTCGCACAGCTCGACGCTTCTTGACATCCCATTCTGCGTTTAGAAAAGGTTACTGTCTCTACTTCGTCTGTCACCATCTTTATTTCCACATCTGTCGTCCTCTTCTTCTCGAGTTCGAAGCTTCAGGGACCGGCAAGACTAGGGGGATGGAGATATCTGCTGCATCAGAGTGGGAAACGAAAGGATCCATGGCGGTCGAGAGATGATCTACGCGAATCATGTTCACGTACATATATATATATATATATATATAATCTTCTTTTGGGATAAGCCGACGGTCTGTGATGAATTATTAATTCGTTTATTGTCGTTTTTTAGCCGTTAGATTAGACAATTCTTGGGCATGCAATGAAGAGTTTAATTTTTCCTTAATGGGATTCTCTGGAAATTTTATTACCCGCATAAAGTGGAAACCGGGAAACTAATTTGGAAAAAGAAATTAACCTTATTTTGGAAAAAAAAAAATGTAGTTTAATTTAGAATCCTCTAATTTAATTTGGGAAAGTAATATCATGCAATCCCATTAATTAATCATAATCGATGGAGTCAATGATGTTGAGTTATTTTTTAGAATTAATAGTCATTGGTGTTTGCACATATAATAATTTCAGTTTTTTTAGAATTAACATAAAAAATTTTAATTGATTTTTTTCTTAAACCAGAAGTTTTTGAAGATTTATCTGAAAATTTTGGTTGTTCTAATGTTTATTGAATTCACCCTGGATTAAAGTAAGCATAATTTAAACTGGTTTATAAAAGCAAACTTTATTTTCTGTCATGTCAAGGCCGTAATTTTTTTTTTTCTGTAAATCTTTTAGTCTTAACGTGAGCTTTTTTTTTTTTTTTTGTTTACCTAATTGGAAAAAAATAATTTCACAAAACATATCTTGCCGTATGAGAATATAAAAATAAAAAAGGATTAATATAAGATTTTGCGATCGTGTGTGGTAGTTGAGTACAGGATCAACAAATTATTGGTGTTGAAAAGAATTGATAAATAATCCAAATAGTAGCTTGCTTTGACCAAAAAAAAAAAAAAAGAGAAAGAAATAATCCAAACAGTGCCTTAAACTTGTCTATATAAAATATAAAACTGTACATATCACCTGCCCCATCCTAACTTTTGCTTCTTATTACACGTTTCCTGCTCCTCCCTGAGCTTATTCTTCTTCCTGTCTTAAAAGCCATCTCTTAATCATAATGGTTTTCGACCATCATATATTTATGTATATCTGATTTCAGGTTGTTCATATATATATATATATATATGAAAAGAATGGAGAGTTGTACGATGGGTGTGTCAAGGTCATTAATGAAACTCGATAGGAGATCAAGCAATTGGGTCAGAGCAGTGAGATTTGGAAAAGCAGAAACGAGGAAGATTGTAGAGAGAAGATCATCAAAGGCAAAGGTGAGTGGGAGTGGAAAATCAATAACAATTAGCAGAAAGAAAGATTGGAGGGGATGGAGGAAAGTGGGTGATGATGAGAATGAGAATTACAGTGAGGTGGAGAGGAGTCTCCGTGTTGGGTGGTTTGTTGTTTGTTTACAGATGCGTGTAGTGTTGGACAATACCAAATGGTCTTACTTTGGCGGCTTCACGTTGGACAAACAGGTGTCTCCTCCTCTTTTATATGTACACTATAAATGATGTTATATTGGAGAGTACGTATAACATAGGTGTGATATTATTATGACTTCAGAGGGAAAGAAGGGAGAGAACAGCTTCATGGCTGCGGGAACTTTGTTTGGAGCTTGGTCCAACTTTTATCAAATTAGGACAACTATCCTCAACTAGATCAGATCTTCTTCCACCTGAATTTATCCACCAACTCTCTAAGCTGCAGGTTCTTTTGCTTTTTCTTCCAAATTTAAATTTCAAAAATATTATTAAAATTAAATTTTAAGTATAATCTTTTAATAAAAATTAAAGTTATTTTCTAAACATTATACACCCTACAATTTAATATTAAGTATGTTGAAACCTGATTTCGGTTATATTTCTGACTATTTAATTACAAAAAGTATTTTTTAAACACAGAACTTAAAAAGACAAAATAATTATAAGTACGTAACACAGGATAGAGTCCCTTACGTTTCGGCAGAGAAAGCAAGAGGCATCATTGAGAGCCAACTTGGGGCCCCTAATGGCCATTTGTTCAAGGAATTTGAGGACCGCCCGATCGCCTCCGCTAGTCTTGGTCAGGTCGTCCGTTTTCTCACACTTTTTTTTTTTTAAAAAATAATTTCTTCTAACCAATATTTCATAATTAAAAAAATATATAAACTTTTAAATGAATTATAGGTTCATCGGGCAGTGCTACACAACAGAGAGAAAGTTGTCGTGAAAGTTCAGCGGCCCGGTCTCAAGAGACTTTTCGACATTGATTTAAGTAAACACCCTGCTAATCCTCTTCCTCTCCATAATCACTCATCACTACAACACTTGTATTCTTCTTCTCAGAGAATCTAAAGCTAATCGCACAGTATTTTCAAGCAAGTGAAACATTTAGTGGTGCAACAAGAGATTGGATCGCCATTTATCAAGAATGTGAAAGGTAATCAAATTACTAATTAACCTCTTTTTTCCCGCCCTTCTCAGCTACACTTCCTTATACATGAACGTTCTCTGGGTTGAGATTTCAATGAATTCATCAGGATCTTGTATCAAGAAATCGACTACATAAATGAAGCCAAAAATACCGATACATTTCGTCGGAATTTTCGCAATATTAACTGGGTTCGAGTGCCTGTATGTTTTCCAGCAATCACACGATTATTATTTTTCTTTAATTTTAGATGTTTATTTAGTTATAATGTTCATCAAATTTTTCTATGTTAAATCTCATTATCCTTGAAGAGGCATGACATTTACTTATTCTGAAGTATTTTTCCTTTTTTTTTTTTTTTTTTTTTTTTCTCTTTGTTTGTTGCAGGCGGTGTTTTGGGATTATACTGCCTCAAAGGTATTGACGATGGAATACTTACCAGGTTTTCTATTTGAACTAAAGTTTGCTTAATCTACAATTTATAAACGGGCTGTTCGCTGTCATTTTGAAGCCATACAGTTCATAGTTCATTGATGTCTCTTTATATAACGTTTGAATGGCAGGTATTAAGATCATAGATTTGAATGTGATAGATTCACGGGGTTACTCTCGTTCTCAAATTGCATCACTCCTCACTAAATCCTATCTGATTCAGGCAAGTTAAAATATACAGAATAAGGCAAGAATTTGCCACTGGGTCTCCTCCTCTATCTTGCTATGTGATCTTCGACTTTATTTTAACTGGCAATCTAATGATCTTAGTGGAGTTTGCTGAAATTTTCAGGTTCTAGAGCATGGGTTCTTTCACGCTGATCCTCATCCGGGAAATCTTGCAATTTCTGTGGATAGAGCACTTATCTACTATGATTTTGGAATGATGGGGGAGATCACATCAATCACTCGTCAAAGGTTGCTTAACCTTTTATATGCAGTTCATGAGAAGGATTTAACAAAGGTAATTTACTTTGCAATGTGCTTGTTGTTCCTGCTATCAGGGTAGCTGGTTCTCTGTTTGATTTTTTGTCTCAAAGAGTCTGTAGAGTATAAATTCTCTATGCTACCGTTTTTATAAATCTTAACAGTACTCACATTTTAGGAATAGGGAAACCAAGTCATGTAAATATTGGTAAGTTCTTCCTGTATTAGCCAACTTTCACAGCTCGAAATTGACAATGAGCTGCCTTTGTAGGTCATCAAATGCCTCATAGCTCTTGAAGGACTCAAACCCACATCAGACATATCATCGGTAACCCAACCTGCTTTGTTTATGCTATGTTTGGCCCTAGAACATTTTAGATATAGCAACAAAATTTTCTTACAGCAACTGTATCCTCTCTGTCAATTTATATTATCAAATATCTGTCATTTAACTGTTTATTTGCTATGTGAGTTTTTGCTTCCTCAGAATCCAATTTGCTTCCTTCTGTTTTCGGTCGTATTCTTTTCGTCTTGAGTGATCAAGCAGTCCTAGGTGTCAACCTTATTGAAGGGTGTTCGATTCATTGTATTTTAGGTGAGAAGATCTCTGCAGTTCTTTTTGGAGCATTCACAAATCCATGAGCATGATCATCAACGAACCTTGAATGCAATCGGAGAGGTATATATGCAACAACCACTGATGGGAAAGTCAATCATTTAAAACAGCTTAATAAGAGACAGTAAGCTGATGCAGGACTATAGAATTGACTAAAATAGAAACAGAGGACAGGGATGCATTTTTTGGTGGTGAACAAGCAAAAGAACACAAGGATATTTGGCACTTCAAACTGCTAATAATTTGGCTTTCACTATAAAGTAACAGTTGGACGGTTGGATAAGTGTATTAGTTATAAGTGTGTTTCTGACTCTGTTACTTGAATGTGTCTAGTTCTGGATATGACACGTATATTCCCCTTTTGGCTTTGATTGACTTCTCTTGAATGACCTATTACTACTGAAGGGAATTGTGTGTTCCTTATTGCAGGACTTGTTTACAGTAGTTAATGATCAATCCCTCCAACTTCCATCAACAATTACTTTTGTTCTGAAGGCATTTTCAACACTTGAAGGTGCCTCCTCTTTGGCTCTCTTTTATTACACAATAGGTTCGACAATCAATTACTTTGAATGTAAAAACCTGAAAGTAAACATTTTATCAATTCTTTTATTTTATTGTTTAATATAGGTGTTAGCTACACCCTGGATCCAACCTTTTCTTTCCTGAAGGTTGCTGCCCCTTATGCCCAGGTTCTATCATATGTTTACCTAATTCACAATTCTAGTAACAAAAGCTTCTATATACAGTTTGAGACACAGGACTGATATATAGCTCATGCTTTATATATAGGAGCTTATCATTAAACGAGAACAGCATCGCACCCAGAGACTAGAGGATCTTAGGAAACAAGCTGATGATGTACTACTACTGCAATTCTTTCTCTTACATCTCAGTTTGATCACTTCCGTTCTCTCTACTTTGAAATCCTTCATCCTTTCTTTGTTTGTGGTCAATTGCAAATTCTATTTGGCGGTAGTTAGTAAAATTCTTCATCACCATTAGTGCTAAAAATATTAAAAGCTTATCCATGTAAAATATTAATTTCAGGTAAGAACTTGGACAACATCAATGCCATACAAAGTTCAGCAAATACACCAATTCATGAGTGAACTTGAATCAGGAGAGTTAAAACTTGGTGCTCGGGTACTTGAGGTAACCAAATAACTTGTTATGTGTAAATATGGGAGACTAACTTCTTTGCTACATAGAACCTATATAAGTTTGTTTTGTGGCATTTGATACTCTTATTCTAATGTCTAGCTATCATGATTTTGGTGTTTACAGTCTGAAAGAGCAGCTAAGAGATCAAGCAGAATGCAGATGGCAACCATGTATGCAGTGTTAGGAAGTATCCTGGTAGAGCTTGGGGTTACGCTCACTGTTCTCATTGAAGGTAGCCAAGCAATTGCAAATGTGTCATTTTTTGGGGCAGGTGAGTTTTGAACCCTTCTCTGAAAGGTAGCAAACCTTGAAAAAGAATTTAGTACAGGCGATATACTGCCCTTCTAAAAAAATTTTAAAAATCAAAATAAAAGCTTTTCCCCTAAATTTTTTTAGAGTTATACTTACATACATACCCACAATTTTTTTAACTAGATCTTTTTAATAATTTCTTATTCAACTAAATTTTGTGACACTCCTTGTTTTGGTTAACTTTACTTGTTTGTCAGATTAAATACCAATTCGAGACTTTACTTGTTTGTCAGATTATATGACGAATTACTTTCCGAAAATACAGGAGTTTGTATGATGCTTTTTCTTTGGTCAATGCAAAAAGTGAAGCACCTGGATGAATTTGAGAAAATGATATGACCCTTGGGCTCTGAAAGTCGAGGTTTGTCACATAAGTTTGATAAATATATGTAATTATCAATATTCTATCATTTAATTGTCCAACTTTACATATGAACTCGAAGAACAAGAAATTGTGTTCTTTTAATTTTTTAAATGTTAAATTGCTTAAAATCTAGAAAGCTACCAATGAGGTGTGTATCAAACAAATATTTTTCACTGATCTTCCCGCTTGGTATTTCCCCTATGACAATTCAAACTAACAAGAATATCAATTAAAACAAGCCTATCCGGCAAAATTTTTTATCCACAGTAAGAGCTCTCAGAATTAATTCTTTATTATAGATAGAGAGCATAAGTAAGCAATTGAACAAAGTAGTTAGTTGGTGGCGTAAAAGTGACTAATTTCACTTTGTTATTGCTTGTCCCACATTGACGGTGAAACAAGATGGAGGACCCCTTGTTGTCATAAAAGACAAAAAATTTGCTCTTTTATGGTTTGTTATTTCTTTTTATCTTTTTGTATTACTTTCTTAAAGTTTATAATTTTTATTGTAATGTTTGAAAT